GAAATGATTTGCAAAATGGGTTCCCATCTCCCCAAAAGCCCCCAAACTTTTTTTTTAAAAAAAAAAAAAAAAAAAAAGCCAAAATCACCTCAGGCAAGCATAAATACTTTTTTTTTTCCTTTCCGTCAACCTTTTCTAATGTGATACTTCAAAGTGCAAATAAATAAATAAAAGTTTATTGAAACAGCTGGTGTTGCATAAAATTCCAGTTCCTGGAAATTAAAGTTCCAGGAAAAGTATCGATGCCTCTTGAGTATGTTTTTTTTTTTTTTTTTACATCTGCAAATCTTATTTTCCTCTGTGTTTAGCACCACCCATCTTCCATCAGAAAAATAAAAAGCATCCCCACAGCGTTACATTGAAACAGAAAATACACGTCTGCCAGGTTCTTAAGGTTTGCCCAGCTACAGAAGCCAGCAGATTGCACAGAATCCTCTTTGCTTCCTGAATTAAAAAGCTCTAGTTTGTTTTTATAACCAGAAACCATAACTGGAAGAACAATTTAATGCACATTATAACACCTCAAAACCTTTTGTTTCTGTTTTTTTTTCTCTCCCTTGTTCTCTTCTGCAGGCCCATTCATGGTGGTTCTGTTTGCCAAGTTGGAGAACATGCTCCAAAACTCGCTGTACGTCAACATCCTGCTCACTGGCATCATAGCCCAGTTGGCCTGTTATCCTCAGCCCCTCCTACGCTCCTTCCTGCTCAACACCAACATGGTCTTCCAGCCCAGCGTCAAGTCGCTGATCCAGGTACGCCAACTCCTGCTAGCTTCAGCCGAACCCCGGCTCTGTGCAGTCCCTGACTAAATGAAGATCTGTGTGTTCATCACATAAGGTTGTTTCNAGGGNTTGTTATTCAACTACACCCTCTTATTTTCTTCCAATTAAAATTTGTAGAAGTTTCTTCTCTCTGTTCCTACTTTGATTGGATTCAAGACTCCAATCATAGCCTTCCGGTTTGGGCACATCGTGACATCTGTAAACGATACCAACCAAAAAAAAAAAAAAAAAAAAAAAAAAAGTCTTCAAGGACCCCCTCCACCTCAAGCTCTTTGTTCTTT